TTGGGGGACAACGTGTCCCACAGTGCCACCTCGCGTGCAGGCGAGTGCATGGTTCTCACGATCCACCAAGCAGGAAAGTGCTCGATCGAGGGAAGGTGCTTTGGGCCTGGGTTGGTCACCTCGACGCGGCGATGTGCCTGGTGAAGGTGCGGCGGAGGTGCCCTAAGAATTTGAAGAAAGAAAACAAGCACTGACATTGCCGGCTCATGTTTTTTCAGCTCTTGCGGGCGGGGCGTGGTTGCATGTAGAGCATGGTTTGCACAGCGAGAAAACGCAACATCCAGGACGCGACCTCGGAGGCGATGCTGGGGTCGTGGCTGCGCAACGAAAGCGTTCCTGGCCAATGCTCGAAAGGAGAAAGCCGAACGTGAACGGAGCATAGTGGTCGATTTCGCATTACATGAATGGCGGAGGGCGGCCACCGTAGCGGCAGCTGCTGCGGTCGCGGTTGGCATTCGATGTTTGGTGGGGTCCTCGACGACCCTTTCCTTGGTGACATCCTTGGAAGTTTGGGCCTTCGTGCTGCGGCTTCGGGATATCACGTCGCACTTCATGCTGCCGAGAAAAAGCTCGCAGCAGGTTACTGGACGGGCAGCTGCTGGTGGTAGGATCAAGGGCCTATACCTCGTGGACGGCCAAACAACGCAGAAGCCGTGAGGTGGAGCGTCCTTATGCCATGTCGGTGTAGGAAGAGCACAAAAAAGAGCGTAGCACACGGCGAGCAAGGCTTTTGCAAGCTGTCAACTTGCAATCGAGGCTTGATTGCAGGCGGTCGATGCCACCATTGTAAGCCCTGCGACTCGGGCTGCCGACCCGCACCCAGGAGCAGACGTGCATCCTGGCCAGGCTGTCGATGGCGCCGCCCGATGCTAACGCACCCTGAGCTGGAGCGCGCCCGCCGCTGCCGCGTGGTGGTCGTCGTGGGCGTTGAAGTCGGCGGCGGCTTTGGGGCTGAGATTGCAAAACTGGCTCCGACTTCTCGCAAAGTTTAATGGCTCAGCGGCGGTGTAGGGCTCGAACAGCGAGGCGGTGTAATTATGCTCGCTGCGCGGCTGCCACAAAGAGGTCGGACGAGCGCGCCACCGAGGCGTAAACGGCGGTCGCGCGGAAGTGGGTACCACCAGCTGTGACGGCGACCCTTGCCAAGCTTGGGGTTAGCGCTTAGAGGCAGACTTGACCGCATGGCCCGGCTGCACATCATGCCGTGGACGGGGCTCGCGGCGAGACGATGGTGGCATCGAGCGCAAGCTGGGAGAGCTGTGCCGCAATGGAGGCAGTTCTAGCGACGACCTCGACGCGCTTTTCGTCAGTGATCGGCGCATCGAGGTTCATGTCGGCCAAGCACACGTGCTGCGCAACCTCTCGAGACACAGATGGGCGAACAGCCCACGGCAGCGACGGCGCAAGTGGAAACGGCAGGCGCACGCGTTGGAGGAGCAACACCCGAACAGGGCAATATATAGGATGGTGAGATCGCACCGCGTCGGCAACTTTTGGACGGCTTGCGACGGCAGCAGTGCGCGAGATGCAGGGGGAAGGTTAAGTAGACGCAATTCACACATGCGTTCATCACGTGACAACACTAGCTCGAGCAGCTACGCTAGCATGCGGAGTGGGTCGGTGCTTTCCTGACATCCGCGAGCGGTGGCAGGGAGCGCCGCAGCCCATCCAATGACACGGGAAGCCAGGTCATACGAATCCAACATGTCATGCCTCACGTGTCACCCGCGTTGGCCATCCACGCATGCACACCGACAACAACACACGCTGCTGTTGTGGGGGTCATGACGACTGAGGACATGGTGACCCGCGCTACCGCAGAACCTGACACTATGATGCAAGCCCCAGCAAGGGCCCGTCCGACCTGGATGGGATGATCGTGCTGTGTTGGGTGGCCGGCACACACCGTCCTGCGCTTTGCCATAGCTTGGAGAGCGCATCCAAGGATTCCTCTGCAGATTTGTGTGGCAGACCTCTGATTTCTCCTTGCTGTCCGGCTCCAGAAACGTTGGGGAACGGTCTTGAACATGCAGTGCCCAGTGCATCTCATTCATCGCTCATTGCTTTGGTTGAAGTTGACTTCTTCCCCCAAGTTTGATGCTTGCTGGTTTTGGCAGCGGAAGGCTACGACCGATGTCTCCTGACCTGGACTGACTGCACGCAAGAATCTGCAAGAAAGCGAAAGGCGAAAGGCTTGTGGCCAGCCAGTTCGCTCATGCTCGCTCGCCGTGCTGGTGAACAGGACCACTCTATGGGCGTTTTCCTACAACGCTTTGCAGTTCTCGAACAAGGGCAGTGAACAGTCGTGTCAAAGCAACGCGGAGGAACGGCGTCGTCATCTTAAACCGTATAATCCTGCAAAGCCTGAAGCCCAAACCCCTGAACCCCAGCACCCCTTGCAACCTGAACCCATGAGTAAACTCTAAATGCCTCAGCCCTTAACCCTATCTAACAGGCTTTGCAATGACATGCAGGCTTTTGTGTCATGTAATAGCTGCGAGCTCGAAGGCTTTGCCGATGTAAGTCTGTGTGGCTTGCAACAGGCAGCTACCCAAGCCAGCCTTCCTTCGTCGAAGTCATCAAGACGATGCCTACCATCACATGCCGCCATACAATCGTGGCCACGACTGGTAGGGTTTCCAGCAACAATCCGACGAGCTGGCGCAGCTCCGAGGGCAAAGCTCAGAACGAACAACAAAAAGAAGGGCAAGAAACAAACGAGAGCCCGGCCAAGAAGAAGCAGCCGAGCACAGAAAACAGCAATCTAGACAAAGGATAACCAAAGAGCAGCAAGGGCAAGGGTAAACACAACGGCAACCGCAAAGGCAGAGCGCGTGTCTGGGCGGGAAAACCTGAAATAAAAGAAAACATTCAGGTCACGCACAGGGACATGCGTCGTGAAAATGGCCCGGCACACCACGCGAGCGCAACACACCGGAACGCTGTTAATTGAGCCGCAATGTGATTACCTGCTGCACTATATGCAGTCATATGATTCATGGCACAGCAAATCACATGCAAAACGATTTTACGGAGCAGCAGCTCGCCCGATGTAAGCTCGAGCGAAGTCGGCATCGCAGGGTTGCATGCTGGCGTGGGTCGGGCCGTCAGCGGGACCTGCCACGGCATGTAAGGCAGGATTCGGCTGCCTACCCGTCGTTCTATAGTCAGTCTGGGGAGGCTTGCAAGCGAGCGCCGACACATACCTCATATCTCTTTGAACCGTGGTGGGGGATGTGGTCGGAGGTTCATAGCTGAGCATGAGCTTCGGCTTTGGGGCACGGACTGCAACACGTGTCTCGGATGACCTTCTTTCCTCCCCCTGGGCATACCTTTTTGGGGCCGCTTTGCGATGGTGTGGCGGACAGTCGGACATGTTGTCACGGGTGGATCCAAGGCACAGGACGGCATCGTTTTCGATTCGTGTATCTTGCCCGTGGCATGACAGCCATGGTACCGGTCCATTCATTGCCAGTTGGAATCTTGACAATCCAGATTGAGAGTTTCGCGGACCGCAGACGTTCTTGTTCAGAACGCTGGCAACCATTCAATGCTGGTGATGGCGAATGGGTGTGTTTTTGCGTTCCAACTGTCCATATTTAACACCCTCCAATCAATGGTTGCATGGACGTTCACGATGAGATGGGACAAAACCACTCTACCCAATCATGCTTTTGAGACACGAGCCTGGTTTGTGTAGTGTTGGCCATCCAGCGAAAATACAAACGAAATGACAACTTCGAAAAGTCGAGTCTGCAGTTCAGCAAGCTGCTGTCATAATCATGAATCACGTGCCCATGGAAGTCAACGTGTATGGCTAAATTGGAATGAACTCAGGACACTTGCCCCTCAAGGCAGTTTACTTCTTTTCGAACGTGGCGTGATTGCAATCGATTTGACGGTCGGCGACTAACTTCGTGGCAGGGCGGAGTATTCACGCACGTGAAAGAATGGCTCCGAACCCAAAACAGAAGTTCCAAAGCTTCCCCACCCGCCAGTCACAGAGGAACTTCCGAATGTCTTCCGTTCCCAAATCATGTTGGCCAACGACGATGTGCAAGGGCGACATGATCAGGGTAGTGACCCCACCCGACCTTCTGTGGTGCGCCTTGGCTGTCACTAGCAGACGCCTTAAACATACTCCCAATCCTGCTCGCTCATGCGATGCGTGAGCACACGCGCCGATGCAAGTAGACCCACATGCTTCCGATGTTCGTGAAATACATTTGCCACGACCTAAGCACCAATATGAAGCAGTAAGGCCTCCGACGGGCAACCGCTAGGCGACCATCATCCGGATTGGTGGGTTCCGATCAGAGCCACTAAGTCACTAAGCGAGCATCATTAGCATCATTGGGTGCCCAATCGGAGCCTGCGGGCGAGCGCATGAGCATCATTGGAAGAGATACCGAGCCGGTAGGTGAGCATTATGAGCATCATTGGGGGCTCGGTTTTCCAATTGAAAGCCGTGTCGTGTTCCTTCTTGCTTTCAGTTTGATTAGCATTATGCTTTGTTTTGTCAAGCAAAAGTCAGAAGTTATTGGCTCGCCTCTCGCTGCATGCAAATCCAGCGTTTCCAGCATTTCCGTCTTGCTGAGCCAGATATGTTTGTGTGTGGGATGTTGACGTCTTCAACATCCCTTACCGATGCTCGGGGTGTCCAGCCGCATCTTTGAAGACTGACGGTATGAATTGGTCACCGGCTGACTCTTGACGAGCGCAGGTGAAGACGCGCTGCGTTTGCGGCCATCGCCATGAGGCTGGCTACCGTTCAAGCAAATCCAACAACGTCGCAGAAGCTTTTTCTACGCCACAGATATTGACAACTCTGAGCTCTCTTATAACTAGGCAGCCGAGGCAGGCCAGCAGTATCAGTGAAACTACTTCCTGCAACTTCGCATGCCCGGTGAGGTGAGACGATACGCGTTAACATCACGGACGACTTTCGAGTCAAGTCCAGCAGCAGCAGCACTCTGCAGCAGACATGAGGTCTTCCCAGCTCATTCGTCTTTTGCAGAGTCTGCCACCTGCGCAAAGAATGGAAACTGACAAACAAACTTCTGCCGCCAGGATCTGCAATGAAAACCAGCCATGAGACAAAACGGCCTCGATGCTGTGGCCTAGGCTCTCTGCAGATGGACTGCATGCATCAGAGGATGGCACCACCTGCCACAAAGCAAGATACTTTCATCATCTTCCAAACGTCTGTCCCAACAAGCGTCCCACTGGCACACGATGAGAACTGCAAAAAGCCTTCGCCTTCCGCAGCCGCTTCTTCCTTGGTGCCCCCTGGCAATCGACTGAGTCAAGCTTCGCTCAGGCTCTTTGCAGCTGCGCCCCAGCCGCGGCCCCGGCCTCCTCCTGTTGCTCCAACAGGCTGGGGGAGGAAACGGCCTGAAGCTCTCTGGGCAAGCTGTGAAGGCCGTGACATGCCGTGACCCCACGACTCCCTGCGGACAGCCTGGCGACCCAATGTAGGTGCCGGAGAAGCCTCGGCGATGAAAGCAGGGAAGGCAAAGAGAGAGGCTCGTTCAAGAGCAAGACACGCTGCAAAGGCCAAATGCAGCCTGCAGATCAAGAAGTAAGCACCTGTCCATGGGCGAAGCCAACAATTTGTCAATGTCGAACTCCTGCATCCCGCACACGCGTCCGGAAGAGTTCCCGCGACGTGAGACAACAATCGATGATGCCTCTTCCGACAAAGACGGGCTGGCAACTGCAGGACTTTGCTGCGACGCCTCACCTGCCAAACGTCCGTTGGACTAAGCTGTGTCTGCTTCTGTGCTGAACCTCTCCCACATTTGAAGCGTGCCTTTGGGCGGTACAGGGCTCGCTTCTGCCACTTCGCCTCCAAGAGCATTCACAGCCTGGCAACCTAACCGCCCTAACCCATGCCACCAACATGCAGCTGCCTTCGACGTCATCAGGCCTGGCTGGCAGGACGAGCTGATCTTGACTATGAGAGAATGCAAACTCACAAGGAAAGCAAAAGAGCAGCTAGGGAGGCTCGTATTCGTCGGCATCCTCGTCCAAGTCGAGCTCGGGTAAGCTGCCTTACCGACCCTATTCGGCAGAAGTCAGAAGTCGCTCAGCCAACGTGGGAAAGGGCGACCCTGAGGGACCTGCCATGCACGGTGAGTGCATAGCAGCCTGACACGGCTGACACGTATACGCTTGGTGGGAAGCGGAACTACGCTGCGTGCAGCCTGGCGTGCTCCGCTCTAAGCCGGTGAAGCGGGACGCAAAGGATCCGGGTCTGTCACATGCACAGATTAGGCAGGTCGCGGAGATGTTGACATGGGAGGGGCCGTCTACAACATGGAGCAAAGGCTACTACAGTCGAGTGCTCAGATCACCGGAGTCTTCTGTTTGGCATGGGGCGCAAGGCAAGCAGTGCATCTCCTGCGAATATTGCATTTCCGATCGGTCGCAAGTCTTCTCTGTGCCTGTCTTGCACGTGCTGTCCAGTGCTAAGACCGCAGGCATGAAAGCACACTCCCGCCATCAGTTTCTCAAACACCGACTAAACAGTGCTGGCTCAAGTCTTTGGAATTCGAAAGACGCTCGTGTCGTAGCATAGCAGCATAACTCGACCCAAACGACAGAACAACATCAGCTCTGGATAAATACAATATACGAAGTACAAGGGTCATAGCAACGCAGAACAAAGCAGATGCCACAACTAGGAACAGCACTAGCCATGTTCACAATAAGCACACGAGTAATCCCCCCGATTCTAACAAAAATTAACAGCTGGCCTTACTAAAGAGAAGAATCCCGCAAAGCTTGCCGTTGTGCAGGCCAGCACACGTGCTTCATTCTCCTGGAACAGACTTGCGAGAACCGTGACGTGAAAACTCTAACCAGATGCGGAATCCTGCATTCCAAGACTGTCTCGGCAATTCGGGCATCCGAGATCGAGAAACTGCTCCTGACAGGGCAGAGCCAGAGCATCCATGCGAACACTTGGTGTAACAAAGGGGCGCCTTGGTCATGATGAGGCGACACCTCGAGCTTCCACAAGAGACTACGCCGTAAGCCGTGAACCCTGCTTGCGATAGCTTCGAAGATGAGACTCCCAGCGAGCTTGATTTGCGAGTCTACGGCGCAAGAAAACTATCCTCAACAGGAACCATCCAAGTATGCCTGCGTTGGACAACTGGTTCTGATGCTGTGCATGGCAACAGCGACAGATTTGTGATGCCGAGGTCGGCACTGCAGGCATGCCCGCAACCTCGAGCTAGACTTTGGAAGCTGATTCCTGAGCGAGAGTGAAGCCTGCAACGTCCAAGTCACGCAGAAGAGTTGCTGGACCGATGCGGTCTCAGACACTGGCCTGATTCGCTGAAGCTGCCTTGGCAAATGGCATGTGCTGATCGTCGCACGCCATAGAAGGCCCGAGCAAAGACGGTGGACACACCAGCAAGAGGTCCCCGCGAATGATCCAGCGGCTCAAGTGCCAGATCTTTCGGCACATTCATCGCGACTATGCAAGGACATGGACACTTTGAGAGCTAAAACTGTCAATAGGACTTGAAAAGTTGATCGTTGATCGCCACATCCAGAGACTGGGATCATTCCCTACATGCGGTGCAGCTAGTTCGTGTAACGATCCGTATCTTCTGCTGCATAGGATCAACGTAGCTTACAGTCAATGCCTCAGTCGCCCAATCTTGCGCCACGTCATGGCACAACGCACATGCAAGCCGGAAACAGCTGCCACAGAAGCATCTCTGGCGTGAAATCTCCTGGACTGCATGCCGAATTTCGGCTGTCGCGAAGCACGGTGGAATGTCAAGCGATTTTGCTCCGATGCGCTGGATCTTTGTGCATCTGTGCAACGTGCGTTCTGCGTGAGCTTTCCCGCAGAGCACATCATGCCATCTTGAAGTCATGAACTTGTTTTGCCTGCAGTGACAGAGCTCGTCCAAGAGAGTTCAGGCACGAGATCGAAGTCGCAAGTTGGAACCGGCTGTCTTTCTCTCTTTCTCTCTCTTTTCATTCGCCCCAACGACACTGCCTTCCTTCTGCAATGCGTCTTCCGCTTTGCGTTTCTTCTCATTGCCCTCTTCCGTTGTGGCAGCACCGTCCGCCTCCAAAATAGGATCAACTGCAGCACAATCAGCCGTCCATGGCCACGGGTAGAGATAAAACTGTAAAACACATCCCCAACCTGCAAGAAGGCCAGACCGGCAAGGGCACCAGACATCGTCGACTCGGAGGGCATCTGCTCCTGCGGAGTGGAACTAGGCAATTCACAAAAAGTGCTAGTCAAAGGAACTAGTCCTACCAGACATGCACACGAAGACTCCTGGTCACCCTCGTCAGTCTCGGCGGCTTTAGTGTCACCACCGTGAGCCACAACTTTGGCCCAACGGGCCGCAGGGTTGACTGTGTGATCGGGGATGGTTGCATCTTGCGGATACAGCCGATAGAAAAGGCTTGTCATGTGCCTGCAAGGTGCAGGCAGACAACAGTGCTCATTGCTCAGTAATTATCATGTTCGTCAGTTTGGCACGAAGACTAAAGATGCAAGCATGCGAGACATGTGCGGAACATCCACGAAATGCAAGGCAAGCCCGCCTCTCACCGAAATCGCCTTGAGATCAACCATTCAAGCTACGGACATGTCTCAAAGCCCCCACTCACTCAATGCAACTGCGTCAATCGAATATGGGCTGGCAATTACATCTTCGTCTCTGGTAGTGTAGTTGTGACGAATGACATGTAAGTGAACACGATTTTCAGCACGTGTGTCGGTCAGCCACGTAAACTGAATGCCCAATTGGGCATGTTGCATGCATCATGATTGACATGAAACCCTTCGCTGCGGCATGCACCTGCAAACACTGAGCTGTCCGCAATTTTCTTACAAGCTGCATCCCACATTACGATTTGCCGCTTCCCGGGAAAGATGCTGTCCGACCAGTGAAAGACATTGACATACAATTTGATTTGCCACCTTTCGACAGATAGATCCCCGAAGCTTGGGCGAAACATCGTAAATCAACAAACAACACACATAAAATACAAAACCTCAAGCTGTTGGATCCGAAGACCCACCAACTTTGCCAACTTTGCGAAAGCTCAGAAACACCCTGAACCTGGGCAATACAGCAAAGCCGGAGCTTGCAGGGCAGGACAAGGCGAGAAGGGGACATTACACAGGCAGGGCAAGGAGGGGGCAGTGCTAGAGCAGGGCAGAAGACAGGGCAGGCTTCAATCTTCAAAATCCAAAAAGCAAGATCTGTAACACTGACACCGTTAACCTGAACCGCACCAGGAAGTTCAACAGCCCACGCCGTTAACCTCCCGAATCTTGAACCTTGTCTTAACCCGCCCGTAAACCGCTGGAACTTGCTAGAGGCCACAACCCGTTTTTTGGCGGCCTTGACTCGAAAGAACGTAAACCAACACCTGAAACCAAAAAATTCCTGCTCTGCCACAAAATGCAGTGTTGCAGGCCCAAAACACCAACTCAGCGGAAGGCCAATTGCGTGGTATTCGAGACGCAGAGACTGGATGCCGCATTCCGCACGCGCCAGAATCCAGCTATGTGGCATGTCATCAGAAAGGCGCCGCCTGTACGCTCTGCGCACGCAACGAACAGGAACTGCTTCTCACATGCAAGGCAATTCTGTTGCAACGACATTTAACTTCAACATCAAGAACCTGGCAACACAACATGCCAAGCTGCTCCAATTTTCACATTTGCCTCCACTGCTGCAGCGGGTTCCGCAGGTTGATGCCCTCTCACAAGTTTAAGACGCATGACAGGTCGCCGAAAAACGGCGCAGATCGCACAGCTTGCAAGTTTTTATCGTTGAGTCTTTGTTTGGATTGCCCTACAGCTTGCAATCCAATCCGGATCCAGCCAGGATGTTGTTACGTGCAATATACTACAACGCAAGCTCCAACGTGTGGTGGTTTTTCCATTGTCCAAATCGTTTCCCTTCTGTGCGCAGACGTTTCAGCGACTTTAGACTGGGGGTCTGTAAGTCAGTAAAGAGGGAGCTGGTGCTGTCAAGGCGGCGTGGAGTGCTGAGCGCTCAAGTGTTGTATGAAGTTGTCCAGAAAACGTCTCCAACATTCTCGAATTGCACACAGTCGTTACGTACGGTACCTGAATTGCGTGGTAGGTTGCAGGCTCCCACACCGTAAGATTCATCTGGGCACCCTTTTTCGCTGTTCCTCTTGCAAGCTGCAGTGGAGTTCTTGTTGTCAAGACAGAGGGATTTCGTTCTTGGGTGCCTTCGCAACTCCGTTCAAGAATAAGTCTTTTTTGCTTGGTTTGGTCAGGTATTCTTGCTGGTGACGACAATCGAAACCAAGCAGCCTCTCAACTGTGCGGCTTTAGCAACCACCGCCAAAACCGGCACCGCCAACCGCCTTTGGTCCACAAAATCCACTTATGGCTTGGATAGACTTCCTGTGCAGGGCGGTTGTTGACGACGCTAAGTGCTTCTGCCGCTTGGTGCTGATTGTGACACTCTTTTTTTCAGATCTGGGTTTGAATACAAGTGGTTATGATCTTTGGCTGAATAGTTTGAGAAAGAAGTTGGCAGTAGTTGTGCGTGGAGCGCAGTAGTTGCAGCAGAGAAGGAAAAGTCGGAGGTCGGGCACCAAGAAGGGCATTGGAAAGCTCTTGTAAGAGAGGAATGCTCGGACTAATGTTAACGGTCATCGCCAAAGCGCAAACATACGAGAGAATTTGGGACAGCTTTCCGTACTGTGGTTTGCGCAGTATCCAAGCACGTCTTTTTGGGTGGAGCTTGAAGGCTGCCAGCGTTTCATACCGTAGTCGTTTCATACCGTAGTCGTAGGACAGGAGAAGCAGCAGCAGTAGCAATAGCAACAGCGGTAGCAGTTAGTGGTAGCCGTCGCAGTAGCAGTAGCAATCGCGGTAGCGGTAGCAGTAGCAGTAGCGGTAGGACTAGGAGTAGGAGTGGGAGTGGGAGTGGGGGTAGAGTAGGAGTAGGAGTAGTAGTAGTAGTAGTAGCAGCAGCAGGAGTAGTAGTAGTAGTAGTAGTAGTAGTTGTAGTAGTAGTAGTAGTAGTAGTATTGCATTGCCTACTAGCCGCCACGGCTCAGACGTTTTGGAAGTTTCGCGCTGGCTTTCGAACAGGCTCTGGATTCCAACCTTGCGTTGCTAGAGGTCTCAAACAGGCCTCTCTCCGAACGACTAAGGGTTGGTTCCTCACGTTGAGCCATGTGCCATGTGCCAACAGTTTGCGTCTGAGCCGCCAGGTCCCAATTCCTGGACCCAGTACCCTGTCTTAACACGGGCCCACTGGGCAGGCGGTAGGGTTTCCACTAACCGCGTGGTGGAGGGAGCACTCGGCTTGCCTTGTGACGAAATAGCGGATGGCGCTGCTCCCAGTGCACTCACAAAATTATTCTCAGATCAGGAAGAATTCGTTCAAGCATGTTTGCAGAAAGGTGGTTGCAAGCCAGCAACCCGTTTCCTACCGAGGTCAGGTCATGACCCCTGCTCTTCTCAGGCGCATGGGCAACTGCCCACCGAGGTTCCACTCAGTCTTTCGCACCACGGTCTAGAGCAGGACAGGCCACCAGGCCCCTCCGTGTACTGTCTTGGAATGCAGGCCACCTTGGCCAGCAGCAATGGTCGGAAGTCAAATCATGGCTTTCCACTGAGGCACGTCACACCTGTGATGTTCTTGTGCTGCAGGAGACCCACTGGCAGGCTACGGCTGAATTTAGTGTTGCAGGCTGGTACTGCATCTCGTCTGCCTCTGCTGCAGAACCGAAAGCCTCAAGACGCAAACAACGCGGGGGCAAGGCCCACATACAGCCACCTGCAGAGGCAATGCCTAATGACGACAAGACCCATCCGCCCCGCAAGGAACCCTCGACAACCCGCGCGGACGGAGTAATGGTCTTTCTGTCCCCACACATACAACCTAAAGGTGTGAGATGGCAGGAACATGTCATAGGCAGAACCCTGGAAGTCAGGTTTGACTGGCACGGGGCTCGCATCGACCTGATTGCTGTATACCAACATGTTTGGTCACCGGCCAAGCAGGTGCAGAACAATCGTCAGGACAGGGCACAGGTCCTAAAAGCTCTTGGCAGATGTGTGCAAAGGGTGCCACACCGAGACACGCTTATCATCGCAGGTGATTTCAATAGCTCCTTGCAAAAACAGCCTAGGCTGGTACCCAGAGCTCATAAGCCCACAGGAACCGCGACCTGATGAACCAGAGCTCACCAACTTCCTGTTGAGTCACCGCTTGGTGGCCCTCAACACGTGGCGACCTCAGCCATCATTTACGTACCAACAGGGGGACACACGCACACAAATGTCAAGCCAGCTTACGCGAGAGGTGTCAGCCCTCCTCAGATACCAAGGCCTCCAGCCACTGCGGCTTTTCCGCTGGGCAGTTGGAAGAAAAGCGGGCACCTGCCCATCAGTGCGACTGTCAAGCCAGTACGCCACTGGAATCTGCCGCCTCCTCAGATACAGACATGGGATCGCCTTCTGGGCGGACATGCAGCCGGCGTCATGGGATCCCTTCTGGTTTTTCCCTAAGACCCCGGTGGCAATGCCAGAAAGTCCGGAGACGTGCATTGCCAGAAGAATGTGGCGCTCTGCACGAGGGAGCAATGCTCACACCAGTGCTGCATCAGCTACAGACGCAGCTGCCCGTCAACTGCTATACGACCAGCACAAACTGGCGGTCAAGCAGTCTCGCAAAGATCAAACCAGGCGGTTCCTTGCCGAGGTAGACCAGGCTCTCAATCAGGGAGACCAACACCTAGCGTACCAAACTCTCAAGCATCTTCGCCCGTGGAAACCGGCTCTGAAGGCTCAGCTCAAGGATTCGAACGGTTTCCTACTCAGCCCTGCCAACGAACTTGCAGAGTTGGGCAAGTACGCCACCAAGGTCTTTGCAGCGCACCCTCCGCTTCCTTCTGACGCGGGACTTCTGCCCCTACTGCCGCAGACTAAGCTGGCGAAACACATAGCTTCGATCAAACCTGGAAAGGCAGTTCCGAAAGGAGCAGCACCAGCCGCAGCCTGGAAGCTCTGCGCACAGCCGGTATCCGAGGCGCTCTCACATTACTGTTCTGCTCTGACACAGGACCAGCCACTAGACGATGATCTGACACGAGCGGATCTCTGCTTGATCCCCAAACCGGGCAAGCCGGCTGACAAGCCTTCCCAGCTCAGACCGCTGGGAATACTCAGGCCGGATGCTAAAGGCCTGGCGGGAACGGCTAAGGAACTCCTGGAACCTCTCACGCTGCCATACATGAAGCCTCTCCCTCAGTTTGCATACCTCCCGGGCCGGGGTCTCTCCGACGCTCAGAGTCGAGTGGTACAGCACCTGAGAGAGGCTCGGCAACTGTGCCGCACTGCGAACCTTACCAGAGCGGATCAGCAGCGGGGACAATGTCCTGTCGGTCTAGTAGGCGGCATTACCTTTG